CGTACAAGTGTTCTTACATTACAAGTTCCGATAAGAACAGACAAATAAAAATTTCAGACAGAATTAAATTTACAAAATATAAAAATAAAAAGTTTCCTGTCGAAAGAACAGATAATTTGTTCATCAATATTAAAAGAGTTTTCAATATTTGTAGCAAACTCTGACACTAAATACTATTCAATCAATAGTACTCGAGTATAAAAATGGATTTTTAATTAAATGTTCTAAAATAACATGGATTTTTTATTATATAGATTTTCTAAAATATCTGTTCCATGAGAACACTATTTAAAAATGTTTCTAAATGTAACAAAAATTCTTTTTATAAAAATTCGTCAAAAACAGATATTTACTTATATAAAGTGTATAAGTTCGAACAGAATGTTTTTTTATCTATTCTATCATATTTAACACGTATCGATTGTTTATCTATTGTTTTAATTTCATGAAATGTAGATGTAGTTGTTAATGTGTTATTTGATAAATAAAATATGTCTTGATCTAATTTAAGTTTTTTTGTTTAATAATTTTATTCGATCAGTCGTATTAATTTTCGTTTAGGATATGAATGTGATTAATTTCAATGATATTTGAAGTCAGTTCTAGAATTAATTTGGAAATTGATAATAGAGAAATGATGTAACAAATGATTGTTGCAAGAGAAAATTTATAATTACGGACTGTGACCATTGCACTATTTGATAACATAAAGAAATTTACCAATTTTGTAATTAATACGATTTCTGTCCTTGGATTAACAGGGAGTACCGGAATTAAATGTATTGATCCTATATATATAATTCTCTTGATTATATGTATGTTTTGTAATCCAAGTTTTTGTTTAATTTTTATAGAATCTCCATTTGTGTCCTTCAATACCGTGATTATTTTTTTAATAGAATCTTGATGATCTGTCATCTTGATGACCTGTTTATTCATTATTATTTACTTATCTGCCATCTAACAAAATGAAGAAATCCGTTACTCATATAGTATTTTTTGATAAAAAAAAAAACAGAAAATATTTAAACAGTATAATTATAAAAACAAATTTATCACAGAACCATTAATACCAGTTCAAAATACAAATTGTTCATAAAATTTGTTTTAAATGATTTTGTTGTGGATATGAACTTATGGATATATGTGTATATATGTGTGTGTGTGTGATATATATAAGTGTTAAATAAAGAGGATGTATTATATAGTACTATATAGGTTAGAGGATGTATTATATAGTACTATATAGATAGAAAGAAAAATATAGATAGAAAACTCTTCCTATAAATGGGATGTAAATTTTAATGCGAAGAAAACGTGATAAGTGTTAATTTTTTCTTATTCTTTCATTTTAAATTTATCGTAGGATAAAAATTTGTACGAGCTTCAGTTGCCACCGTCTCGATTAATTTGCCTGATCGTTAAACTACGATAAAAATAGAATAATGCATCAAAGCATTTCAACAGCTGACGCTTGTTATAAGCTGTCGTCCATACGACTGCGGTAATCCTGTAATCTTTTTCTTGAGAGCAGACGTTTTGAGTCGCTGAGTCACGTTTCCGGCCAGGCAGATTTCTTGCACCTGCTTCAGCGACTCTCCAAGAAAAAGTTCTCAGGAAACTTTCAATCAGAAGTTCTTAACTTAAGGATAAAATTAAAAATAAAGAATTAGTTGTCCTTGTATATGAATGTATACTTAATTTCATCATTGCAATGGTTAACGATAAAAAAGTTCTGAAAATGATGTTTGCAACAAAATTTTTGCGCACTATCAACAATGTAAATATTTAGAGTGTAAAGTATAGTAAATATTTAGAGTAAAGATTTAGACACGTCTAATGTAGATACCTAATCAATAACGAAATAATTTTTCTTTTTATAAAGTCATAACTTCCACTTGGCTAAATTTATGGATACATACATATAATGAAGAACTAATATGAAGAATATAACAATGAAAATGTCGATAATTTAATTGATTCACAAAAAAAGAACATGTAATAATTCATTTAGTATTATTTTAAAGCTTAAAACTTCTACTTTTACTACGGTCTTCAATTCGTTTTTTCAATCCGATGGTTGGAAAACTAAATAATATAATAATGTTTCTCCCTCGAAAATTCAAACGCGTGTAAAAACAGAAAAAAATTTTTTTTCATGAGATTAGATCTAGCATCGTTTTAAAAAATAAAATCTTGCCTTTGATAGTTGTAACGAGTCCTTAGAGCCTGCTGTACAATTTTTTTCAGTATTTCATTGAACTTTCAACATTACGATTAAACGACGAAATGCTAGGATTTCTTGAATCTAATTCTAATAATCAAAGTTTAACAAAATGTTGAAAAAAAATCATACTTTTTAAAATGATAGTGGATGTTACAAAAAAATGTTCAATGTTTTTGGAAATATCTAAATTTTTACAATTTTCCAAAAAGAAAGTGTCCTCATTTTCTCATTAATGTAACTTTTCCACTCACAAATGTCAAAGTCTTGAGCTTGAAAATGAGACCAAATTGATCGTTATATGGTTTTTTTTTTTTTTTTTT